ATCCCGCGATACCTCACCCTATGAGAACCCCCCTCCCCCGCAACAACCGTTAACCATGAAGCTTTAAACCTGAATCCCTAAACCCTGAAGGCAAAACCCCCAAAAAAAACCCTATAAGCGCTATAAGCCCTATAAACCCGGCCTATCGACCCTACAAACCCTATAAACCCCATAGACCCTATAAACCCTATAGACCCTCTAAACCCCATAAACCCTCTAAGCCCTAATGCGGAGGCGGAGGAAAGCTGAGCCCAGCTGCTGGTGTAGAGCGTCGTGGCCAAGACAAAGCTCTCCCTCCGTTCGCTTTAGGGGTTTCCCAGAGAACCCAGTACCCCTTAATTAAGGAATATACCTTGAATAATCGGGGCGTTACTATTTTGATTTAAGGTATAATCCTGCATTTGGGGTATTGGGATCTCCGGGTTGGTGGTTTGGGATTTATGGTTTAGGGTTAAGGATTTAAGGGCTTAGTGTTGAAGGATTTAGGGTTTTGGAATTGTCGGGTTAGAGTCTGGGGTTTACTTTTAGGCCCTAGGACATTCTAGGGGGGCTTGCGGAGTCTTGCAAGGGTGCGCTTGCACTATCATGACGGCCGCTGAAGGCCCTTAAAGCTTCTGGAGGGGGGGGCTTCTTGACAAGGTTTACTCCTATTTCAGAAACTCAAAGCTCCCTAACACAACACAAAACCCTGGGTTGCGGCTTTCGTTAGACGGATCCTCAGCCCAGAGATCCCAATACCCCTTCATTAAGGAATGTACCGTAAATCATAATATTAAGGCCTCTATAAATTGAGTTAAATTCCTTATCTAAGGGGTATTGGGCTCTCTGGGCAGATTCAATTGAAGCAGATGGGAAGTTGAGTGGGGTTGAATATATAGGCGCCTCAATACTATATGCAGCATGGTAAGATGAAATGAGGCAACCCTAGAGGAATAGCATGTGTATCAATCACTGAAGCCCGGCTGCAGACGGTTGAAGATGGACGTCTCTTGCTCCACCAAATCCTCGAAGGCAGGAAAAGGATTCAAGGACTTCTTGCTTAGAGGTTCATGGTACTTAGTAACCAGGGAGATAAATAAGGTAACTATACGTATAATTGGTCCTATCCTCAGTTAAGATACTTATAACTGTACTTACTAAGTCCCATGAACCTGCAAGTAGACCCTAAACCCTAAACCCTATAGATCCCTTTTAGGGAACCCTATAGATCCCTTTAAGGAGAGCCCCTTAAGAACCCTTACTAAGTCCCATGAACCTCCAAGTGGTTCCTAGACACTCCAGGATCCCACAGCCTTAATTCTGGAATACATCTTTCAATGCGTGGCGGGAATCTTTGCGCGAGCACAGGTGTATTCCTTGCCTAAGGACCTTGCAAAAACATCTCTATGTGCATAAACAAACCTATATCTCTAAATACATATATATATATATACACATAAACCTACATATATGAATACAATATAAAAAACAAAACACACCCTTTCAAAGACCTTAAACATCCCTACAACACCCTAGGGTCTAGTCCTCAGCTATGGCAGCTATGGGGGCTTTGGAATCTTTGGCTTCGGGCGAGCCATGGATCCTAAACCCACGAAGGGGAGTCGCAGGGGATGGGGCGTGGGTCCTCAGCTGATCCCGAAGCGGGTGGGCTCGCCCGGGTCTAGGGCTTAGGGTTGCAATCCCTGCATCTGTGGGTCTGGTGACAGCTGTTGCTGCGATCTGAGAAAGTGGCCTGACAGAAAGCGTTCTGACAAGAACCGCAGCGTTTGCGACATGCCCACAGTTGCACAAGATAAAGCGGGGGATTGCCTCCGGCATCCAAAATTGCGGCTCCTACCCTCGAAGCGGGTGCATCAGCGGCAAGCAAGTGATCGCGGTTGCTTTCTGAACCAGTCCCCGTTGGAGGAGCTGCCCAAGTAGCTTTGGTTTCGGGTTTCGGGACGTTTAGGGTTTAGGGCTTAGGGTGGAGGGTTTGTCTAGGGAGGGCCTAGGGCTTACGGTTCAAGGTTTGATTCTGAGGGTCAAGTTTCGTTCGGATTCGCAATGCTGAACCCTAAGTCCCAACCCCTGAACCCTCATCCCCACCCTAACCCTAAACCCTAAACCCCTAAACCCCTAAACCCTAAACCCCCTAAACCCTAAACCCCTAAACCCTAAACCCCCTAAACCCTACACTCCACAAACCCCTCAGCCCCTGTCAACCCGCACTGAAGCCGTTCGAACTTCCACTTTTCCCAGAGACTCTTTAGGGTTTAGGGCTTAAGGCTTAGGGCTTAGGGCTTAGGGTTTAGGGGATGTAGGATTTAGGGTTTAGGGTTTAGGGTATGTAGGGTTTAGGGCTTAGGGTTTAGGGGATGTAGGATTTAGGGTTTAGGGTATGTAGGGTTTAGGGCTTAGGGTTTGGAGACCCTTTGATCAAAGAACAAACCGTAGGTTTTTGCATAGGGGTTTTCCATGGGTGCGTGAAAAGAGCTATTGCTGCTTTTTACGCGTTCCTGTAGTGGAGCCCTATACCTCAAGAAGGATCCTCACCATGAAACACTAAACCCTGCACCCTGTACCTTCAACCCTATACCCTAAACCATATACGCAGAACCCTCTACCCTGAACCCTAAACCCTAAACTCCTAAGCTTCTATACCGAAGTAGGCAGGTCTGGGGAGTCGCTTTTCTTTTGGTATTTGTTTAAGTTCATAGAGTAATCTGATAGTAACCCTTATAGGACCCCTTTAAAGGATCCCTACACCCGCTCTACTTGGAGGGTCGGGGGACTTAGTAGCTGGTTATTTTAGGGACTTATAAGTGTCATAACCTCAATTAGGGTCCCTTTTTGGGTACTTACAAGTCTACTTACTAACTACTCACTAAGTCCCCCGACCCCCCAAGCTATAGCCGGGTCTGGGGGAGTCCCTTCTTTCCGTGTCCTGGACGTACTTGTGCGCATGGGCAAAGGGTGCGGAGTAGATGAGGAAGTCGTACTCCTCCTCGATGACCTTTGGACCCAGAGATCCCAATAGCCCCTAATTAAGGAATGTTCTGTAAATCATAGTATGAATCATTTAAGGTATATTCCTTAATTAAGAAATCTTTGGACTGCACAAGGCTGAGGCTTGTAGGGTTGTAGGGTTGTAGGGTTGAAGGTTGGGGGTTTGGGGTTGTGAGGGTTTGGGGTTTAGGGTTGAGAGTTTAGGGTTTTGGGTTTGGGGTTTGGGTTTGGGTTTACGGTTTTTGGGTTTGGGGTTTAGGGTTTTGAGGCTTTGTGGTTTTAGGTTTGCAGGGAACTGAGATACAGATCGCGATGATGCCCCAAGCTTTGGGCTCGTTGCTTGGTCTAAGCATGTAGGATGCAATTGCAGGCACCCAGAGATCCCAACAAGCCTACCTTGAACCATAAAACCCTAAACCCTAAACCCATAAAGGTACAGTCCTTGATTAAGGGGTATTGGGTTCCCTGGGTAGTCCGTTGGTTTGAAGCGCTGCAGATTGCACTGGCAACTTCTTGCTTCCCCTGCTTCCGCTCCTATGTAGGGTTTAGGGTTTGGGTGGTTTAGGGTTTAGGGTTTAGGGGTTTAGTGGTTTAGGGCCTTAATAAAGGAATATACCTTAAACTATCGAGGCCTTCATATTACGATTTAAGGTATATTCCTAAAATAAGGGGTTTGGGGATCTCTGGGTACTGCCCCGTTCAGCTTTCGCCGGGCTTGGGGCTTAGGGTTGAGCTTAGACAAGTTAGCAGGGCCTGCGGTGTAGGATTCAGGGCTGCTTAGGAGTGTCGGGATCTAGTGGGAACTCTTCAGGGCCATTCCGGTTCCATAAGCGCTGAATCCTGCCCAACACATAAGGGTCCGCTGACGATTCTATAAGCTTACAAATCAAGGGCTTATAGCACAGCCCCCACTCCTACACCCCGAATCATAACACTGAATGGAAAACCCCTGGAATCCCTGAAACGTCTCATGCTAGCCTACACGGAAGATGGATCCCCATTTATGGTTTAGAGCACTTCGGTCCATGTGCTTGGTAGACCGCCGCCAAAACCAAGATGTATTGCAGTCCGTATCTTCGAGTAATCCCAGGGAATCCAATACCCCATTAAGGACTATAGCTTAAATTATAGAAGCCTGATATTATGAATTTAAGTATATTCCTTAATTCAGGCGTATTGGGATCTCTGTGTAATCCCTAAACCCTAAACCCGAAACCCGAACCAAGTCAGCCGACTTCCGGCGAGTCTTGGGTGTACTTGATGACCACGGGGGCGAAATCATCGTGCAGCTGGCGATCGATGCCTAGGGTTTCTTCAAGTGTCCTTAAAACGGGGCATTAGGGCCTTAACAAGAAGAATAGGGATTCTTCAAGGGTCCGTAGACCCGGGTTTTGGAGCCGTAGTACGTATGCGAATAGGGTTTCTGCACAGGTCCTGAGAGTTTCTAGAAGGGTCCCTCAAGCCAGGATTGAAAGACTTAGGGTTTCCATGGCCCTCTTCCGGCAGAAGCGGTTTGACCCAGAGAAGCTGTGAAACTGACTGCACAGAGATCCCACTACCCCTTAACTACGTTGCTAATTAAGGGGTATTGGGATCTCTGGGCGTGCCTATGTGTGCATGACATACAATACTGCATCACACATCACGCAGCAGCAAACTGCAGCTCTCGAGTGGCACTTTGCGCTTAGGGTTTAGGGTTCAGGGCTTAGGGCGGAGAAGGGCTCATACTGTTGATGATGTAAGCCCTGCATTACCCTAAGGACCCTAAACTATGGGAATAATGGTATGTTCCTTACTTGTCATGCAGGATTTATATCATCAACCGTATGCGGGCTCCGATATCTGGCGGGGCTGCTTATTAAGATCCTGCTGTTCTCGGTCTACAACTGTGTCAGACCACACCATGTTCGGAAACTACCATGTCGCATGTTGCTGGCAGCTACGAGTACCGGGGTTTATACGTCATACAGATGCACTTAATCTTTTTGGATAAGGCTCTGGCTTACAGTATCACACTATAACAAGGGGATTATACCAGCATACCATCGGCAGCTATTCGCACTCTCTGAATGGTTGCAGTCATACCTCATGACCATAAAGCCCCACTTACGACCAGCTACTGCTCCGAAATTCATAAATTGTGCATGCCAGGTGCTTTGAATCTGCACACCAAATCGGACGTCGATTCCATCGTGCTCAGCCATGGTCGTCCAAATCTTTTGATACCTGCTGTGGGGTCTAAAGTTCAGAGCTATGCTGTTTCCAATGTAAGAAAAGAGCCGAAACCCTGAAACCCGACAAAGGCTTAGAAGTCTGAAGCACAAAGCCTAAATCCCAGTCTCAGAAAACCCCAAAACTTGAAAGCAAATCTCTCTAGTCTAAGCCATTCTTAGAGTTTACAGCTTCGGCTCTAACGTTTTTGGAGTTTAAGCTATGAGGAGTGCAACTTGAGGTTTTTGCTTCGTGGTCTTTGGAAACGACAGTATATTATGCCCAAGCATACCAGCATAGTATGTCATCCGGGCCGCTCTGAAAAACCTATAAGCATCTTATCGAACCCCCAAGAACGCAAGTAGATTAAACCTGAACCCCAAGCCCTAAACCCTGAACCCCAAACCGGGGGTTTCCGAAAATAGGGGATCCGAATATAGTGCCCTGAGTAGTAGGATCCTGCTTATAAGGACCCCCCAAATACGGTACCCCTGATTTTTTTGGAGACTCCCAAGCTGTCAGAACCCCAATCGGAGGAGTCAAAAGGTGCTTATATAAGGGATCCTTAATCCTACCTACCTTCATCCCACCTTTTGAGGCCTCCGACCCAAAGCTCAAAGACCGGTGCCGAGCCGCCCTTCTGGCAGCATGTGGGTCGTCCGCTTCACGGGGTCAGCATGGCCCCCGACGGCGAGCCTAGAGGAGGGGTTTCGAGTTTCGGGGTAGTAGGGCCCAGAGACTCCAATACCCCTTAATTAAGGAATACATCTTACATGACAACAGGATCCCTAATATCGTGACCCAGAATAAGGCAAAAACCATAATTCCCTGATCTTGAGGTGCTTAAGGTAATGCAGGGTTTGTATCATCAACCGTGGGGTTCGCGTTCGGGGGTTACGGAGTGGGGGTTGGTAAAACTTACGGTCTGACCACTTGTAATTTTCCGTCATACCTTCCACAGTTCGCGCTTTCCTACTCGCCACACAGCTTTTGGAAACAGCTTCTGTACTGCGCGGTCTCGCTCATAGCGATTTTACTTCCCAAAGAACCCCAAAAACCTTAATTAAGGAATATACCTTACATGATAGGGGGCTTAATATGATGATTTAAGGTATATTCCTTAATTAAGGGGTATGGGGATCTCTGGGAATCTAGGAGTTTCCAAAAATAGGGGACCCGAATATAGTACCCAAAATAGTAGGATCGTCATTATCAGGACCCCAGAGTAGGGTATCCCCAATTTTCGGAAACCCCCCCTAAACCCTAAACCCTAAACCCTAAACCCTAAACCCTAAACCCCTAAACCCTGTTGCCACCTTTCCCTGGCATTGCTTCTGACAAACGGGGCTTTTCGCCTTCTTGGTCTTCTGGGCCTTCTTCGCGTCCATAGTCATACTGCTGATGGACAAAATCCTGCATGACCCTAAGGACTCTAAGCTATGGGAATTATGGTATATTATATATATATATATATGTCTATATATATATATTCCTGATTCTGGGTAATGCAGGATTTTGTCCATCAACAGTACTTGAAGGATCATGGGACTTAGTAAGTAGGTTGGAATTGGGGGTATAAGTCCCCCAAGTGGGGTTATCCTAATTATAACCTCCTTATAACCTTACTTACTAAGTGCCATGAGCCTTTAAGTAGTCTTCAATGTCAAGGTATCGCCCTCCTTGATGTCCCGGGCACGGAAGGACTGCTTTGCGTGGGATGAAATCTTCTCACCGTCCGCAGCTTGCACACCACCTGCTCAGCGATCCCAGGCCGCCGCAAACCCTACGCTCTAAACCCTAAGGCCCCAAAGTAGTTCCTTTTTGGGCTTCGTATATAGAATCCTAAAAGGTAATCCCAAAAAGGAACTACTTTGGGGCCGAAGGCTCCTGGACCCTTGTGGTGAGATCCCGGACCCTAGCCCACAAAGCCGAAACCCTCCCCCAGAAAGCCCAAGACCCTCTTAGTAACGGTTTAGGGTTTAGGGTTTAGGGTTTAGGGTTTAGGGTTTAGGGCCTAACTTAGGAGCCTTAGGGTAAACCCTAAACCCTAGCCAATGCCATGTCAGAGCGCTGCGGGTTGGCTCCTAAGAAGCGGCCCAGCACCTTGCATGCGCCCGGATGTATACTTGAAGGATCATGGGACTTAGTAGGTAGGTTATAATTGGGGTTATAAGTCCCCTAAGTGGGGTTGTCCTAATTAGAACCTACTTATAACCTTACTTACTAAGTCCCATGAGCCTTCAAGTGTTGGGCCGGACCAACCCGAAGAGGGGTTTAGGGTTTAGGGGCAAATCCCATAAACCCCACAACCCAAAACCTCTAAACCCGAAGACGCTGAAACTCTAAGACCCTGATCCTGAAACTCAAGGACCCTAATACCCCTGCAGCCCTATTTAGAATCTGCGCTGAACCCTGAAACCTCGACCACAAAACCCCTAACTGCAACACCAACAAGACCGAGGTTTCAACAAGCCCCCCCCCCCCCCCCCGCGCCGCCCCAAAGCCCATACTATGAACTGCCAGGAGACGTTACAACGGCATCCACCCAAAGGCCCCGCATGTACTGGTAGAACTTGCATTCCTGGCTGGGGGCAGACCCAAAAAACTGGATATTTTTTCATGTCCTTGACGGGTTTGCTTTCTTGAGGGGCAGAATATTCCATAAGTCCGAACAAACAATAACTCCGCCCCCTGTCCGGGTTCAGGTATTTCTCCAACTTCTCGCGGAAGCTCATCTGAACGTACCTCGGCTGAAGGACTCTAGTGTTTAGGGTTTGTGGATTCTCCACACCCTAAACCGTTTAAACCGTTCTGCGCAAAAGAGTCTAGGAATAGCTATGATGGCATTGCTGCCAATGTTCTCAATGTCATTATCGTTTGCAGGTTCAGGCACAAGAATGAACAAACAAGTCAAGCACGTGACATGGCCTTTCAACAGAAAATAAAAACATCATGGCCTTGCGGGAAGATTCGATATCCAACGAGCTCCAAACCCCAAGCCCCAAACCTTAAAACCCAAACCCGAAAACCCAAAGGACCCCAAAGCCCTCAAGTAACCCGATACCACCCTCAACTTACCCTTACCTCCGATAATGGACCCTGAGGGAAGGCAAAGGTATTGAATCCCAAGACCCAGATCCCTTTCAGATATGGTTTAGGGTTTAGGGTTGCCAACCCTAAACCCTAAACCCTAAACCCTAAACCCTAAACCCTAAACCCTAAACCCTAAACCCTAAACCCTAAACCCTAAACCCCCAAAAATAACCAAAACCCCGGACCTCCAACGCTGAATATGCCAAGCCCTAAACCAGAAAATGCGCGAAGACTTTTTTTTTTAAAAAAAAAAAAAAAGAACCTGATTTTTTTTTCAGGTTCCCTTACTATGCTATTTGTGTAAAGCACGCCCAAGCTTTGATTACTAACGACTCTACCCTAGACTCGAAACCCTACCCAGAGATCCCAACACCCCTTAATTAAGGAATATGCCTTAAATCATAATATCAAGCCCCCAATAATTTAAGGTATATTCCTTAATGAAGGGGTATTCCTTAATGAAGGGGTATTGGGTTCTCTGGGTAAACCCCAGTCTATAACACCTCCCGGCCGGGCTTCCCATTCAGCAACTCTGGGCTGATCCACCAGAGCCCATAAAAGGCAGGGATCGTTTTCCTGGGTTTTATCATGGAGGCTTCGGGCTAAAAGCTCTGGGTTTCGGGTTAGGGGCTCTGGGGCTCGATACGATTTCTCCGGGTCTTGACATGGTTTTGCAAAGCATTAGACTATGGAGCTGGCAAAATCTTTGCATGCAGTTTAGAGCTGTCTCAAAACCTTAAACCCTCCACCCCAAACCCTAAATCTTCAACCCTAGTCGCTAAAGCTTGGGTATTTCGGGTGCAGCGGGGTGGGGCGGTGAAAGGAATAAGGACCCTAAGAAAATCCAAATTGAAAGATTCGTGGCTCAAAGCGACGGTCCTTCCGAAAGCAAATGCCAAACTTCATACCTTACATTATACTGCGCTATGCTGTACTATGTTATCCCATATTGCTCTATCATATATAACAATATAACGAGTACTCCGCGCCCAAGTGTCACATAGCCATATCCTTGAGCTGCATGTGCGAACCTGCGAGCCATGGCTCAGGGTTTCCGCACTTTGTTTGGGCTCTCGGGGTGGACTTGTAGGACTTCAAGGTCCCCGTCAGCCGCCCTCGATGTTGTCGAAGCCTTTGTTAGTAACCCTGCAAACGCCTCAGCAACCCTTGCAAAAACTGTGTAGAATCCGTGCCATCATTGAACTTTAGCACATAGAATCGTGCCTTAGGGTTCCTTACTAGAGCTGTAGTCTAACATACCCCAGGTGCCATTCACATTGTTGACAGCTGGAAGGGGAGCTAAAGAAACCAGGGAACGCGGGCTTCCTGTTTGTTTTGTTGTATAGCGGTCCGAATAATTAAACAAGGATTTCGGGGCGTACAAGTTACTAGACTTTTCCGGTGTCAGGACATAAGGAGAACACGATCACCAATTCTCCAGACTGCGGTTTATGATTCAAGGTCAGTTTTGGGACTACAATAAGGGCCTGAGCCAGGTGGATAGGGCTGTATTTTGGTGCGCATAATCTTCAAATTATGCAAGGGGCTCTGGGGCGATACTATCGATAATCATTCCCCAACAAGGTCCACATATATGATGCAGGGCTGCCACACCCCCCCTCCCCCCCCCACCCCATGGTATCCTCCCCCCTTCCCCCCCGCCCCCCCTGTGGTGTGGGGCCTGTGGTGGTACTCTTTTTGCCACGACGTTCTTATGTGTTACTCCTTGTCTTCCCTCTTGTTGTGGTACCGGTGATACTGCTCATGATGTTGTGCTGCTCTAGACCGGGACATGAGTCGACGATCATACCATGCTCAACATCATCCTTGTCGTCGTCATGTTCATCATTGATACCTTCAAAAGAAGATCTGCCACCATCACCATCGCAATACAACCCTCATAATTCAGCATTGCAATTCACGTCAGATGCCGCTTTCCGCACACGGCAGGGCATAGTGCGACACTCCCGATCCGCGCACAAGGTCAAGGAGCAGGCGAGGTGCGGGCCGGGGTGGCGGGGCGGGCAGGGTGGTGGGCATGCAGCAGCAGGGCGGCAGGGGGTTGGGGGGGGGGGGGGTACCATGGGGGGGGGGGGGGGGTGTGCGGCTTAAACCGGGTTTATTTGGAAGCTGGTGCTTGCACTCTAGATAGGGAAACAGTGACCTAAATCCCTTATATATAAACAAGAGCCAGCTTCCAAATAAACCCGGTTGGGGGTCCCGGGCGGGGACAGGGCCGGGAATTAAATAATTTAAATAATTTAAATCCTGGCCGGGGGGGTTCCCGGGGGCCCCGGGCCCCAGGATTTAAATAATTTAAATAATTTAAATCCTGGGGAAGGGCTCCGGATTTAAATTATTTAAATTATTTAATTCCCGGGGCCCTGGACCCCCGGGGACCCCTCCCCTTCAGGATTTAAATTATTTAAATTATTTAAATTATTTAAATTATTTAATTCCCGGCCCCATTTAAATAATTTAAATAATTTAAATAATTTAAATAATTTAAATCCTGGCCGGGGGGGTTCCCGGGGGCCCCGGGCCCCAGGATTTAAATAATTTAAATAATTTAAATCCTGGGGAAGGGCTCCGGATTTAAATTATTTAAATTATTTAATTCCCGGGGCCCTGGACCCCCGGGGACCCCTCCCCTTCAGGATTTAAATTATTTAAATTATTTAAATTATTTAATTCCCGGCCCCATTTAAATAATTTAATTCCCGGGGCCCTGGACCCCCGGGGACCCCTCCCCTTCAGGATTTAAATTATTTAAATTTGTTTAAATTATTTAAATTATTTAATTCCCGGCCCCATTTAAATAATTTAAATAATTTAAATAATTTAAATAATTTAAATCCTGGCCGGGGGGGTTCCCGGGGGCCCCGGGCCCCAGGATTTAAATAATTTAAATAATTTAAATCCTGGGGAAGGGCTCCGGATTTAAATTATTTAAATTATTTAATTCCCGGGGCCCTGGACCCCCGGGGACCCCTCCCCTTCAGGATTTAAATTATTTAAATTATTTAAATTATTTAAATTATTTAAATTATTTAATTCCCGGCCCCATTTAAATAATTTAAATAATTTAAATAATTTAAATAATTTAAATCCTGGCCGGGGGGGTTCCCGGGGGCCCCGGGCCCCAGGATTTAAATAATTTAAATAATTTAAATCCTGGGGAAGGGCTCCGGATTTAAATTATTTAAATTATTTAATTCCCGGGGCCCTGGACCCCCGGGGACCCCTCCCCTTCAGGATTTAAATTATTTAAATTATTTAAATTATTTAAATTATTTAAATTATTTAATTCCCGGCCCCATTTAAATAATTTAAATAATTTAAATAATTTAAATAATTTAAATAATTTAAATCCTGGCCGGGGGGGTTCCCGGGGGCCCCGGGCCCCAGGATTTAAATAATTTAAATAATTTAAATCCTGGGGAAGGGCTCCGGATTTAAATTATTTAAATTATTTAATTCCCGGGGCCCTGGACCCCCGGGGACCCCTCCCCTTCAGGATTTAAATTATTTAAATTATTTAAATTATTTAAATTATTTAATTCCCGGCCCCATTTAAATAATTTAAATAATTTAAATAATTTAAATAATTTAAATCCTGGCCGGGGGGGTTCCCGGGGGCCCCGGGCCCCAGGATTTAAATAATTTAAATAATTTAAATCCTGGGGAAGGGCTCCGGATTTAAATTATTTAAATTATTTAATTCCCGGGGCCCTGGACCCCCGGGGACCCCTCCCCTTCAGGATTTAAATTATTTAAATCATCTTTATCATCTTCATCATCTTCATCATCTTCATCATCTTCATCATCTTCTTCATCTTCTTCATCTTCATCATCTTCTTCATCTCCATCATCTTCTTCATCTTCATCATCTTCATCATCTTCTTCATCTTCATCATCTTCTTCATCTTCATCATCTTCTTCATCTTCATCATCTTTTTCATCTTCATCATCTTTTTCATCTTCATCATCTTTTTCATCTTCATCATCTTCATCATCTTCATCATCTTCATCATCTGCATCTCACCCTTCAGCATAATATTGTATAGCACTGACGGGGGCTTTGTTATCTGTAACAGCCTTGTCGCGACTTGTTATATGCAACATGCTACAACACTCATGCGATGCTGCACACTGAGTTATGAACCAAAGATTCTCCGAACAAGCGCTTCGAAACACATGTCCGGCACTGCCGTCAGGATACGCCGCCGACTCTGCGATCGTTTTCGTCGCAATCGCGAAGGCGAGGACGCTTGCATGCATGAGTTGTTAGTCGTGCTGCTGCATTCGTGCTCGATGTCATTGGTAGCGGAGCGACGGAACAACGCAATTTGGGTCGGCTCGAGAACCTGAGCTCTTGCCTGCCATCCGAAATTTCCTTGCTCGCAATGCCTTCGACTGGCTCATCGGTTCGCCTTGGCCTGGGGGTCCTGAAGGCTAAGTATCTGCAAAGAAAGGTGCCATCCGTGAAGATCATAAAAAACTGCGGAGTCTCCGGGTCTCCATAAAGAAGAAGGAGCAGGAGTTAGACGAGATGGAAGAAAGTCGGTCGTCTTCTTTCTCGTCTGGTTCTCCTGTGCTGCCTGGAAGCTCAAGTGAGGACGAGAAGGAAGACAAGGCACCG